ACAAGATGAATCGAACTAGGAATTAAGAAATTGTTCTTCCTTTAATAACGTAGAGTTCATGTGATCAAAGAAGCAGTTCTTTGGACCGATTTTAATGAATTGTTCATTAAATCAAAGAACAAATTCTTTTTATTTATGCTACTATTTGGTTGAGTGCAGAGATGTTGGGATATTGATAAAATAGGGAGAGTTATTAAAGCTGACTTTTTTGTTCATATCTTTTTTTGAGACAGAGACTGGGGCTTCATTAGGATTCTGAAAATCTGCAATAGAGTTTGAGTTTTTGGTGTCCAGCTCCACTGGCTTTCCTGAAGGCAAGTATTTATGAATTTGGTTGCTATGACGAAGCCACAGTTGTCCTGTCGACAACCTGCACATGTAGGTGCTTTTTCCAATTTTCTTGGATATCCTTGCTTGAGACCACTTTCTTCCCCGACTACCTGTGTAATCTGCGATAAAAACTTTTTCACCATTTTCAAAATGTCTAGTATTTCCACCGTGATACTTTATTTGGCGATGCTGTGCGATCTTCGCTTGATGTAATCCTACTTTTTCTGAGTTTTCTCGGTCTTTGTATGGTAATTCTTCAATTTGGGATAGTCTTGTCCTGGCTTCTCTGCCATACATCAAGTAATGTGGTGTTTTGTTTGTTGAGGAGTGTGGTGTTGTCCTATAGGACATCAGGAATCTGGAAATGAGGGTTTCCAGAGGTAGTTGTTTATTTCTCGGGTCTTGCAACGCTGTCTTAACCTTGCTCTTAAAGGTTCTCACTGCATTCTCTGCTGCTCCTTTACTCCTAGGATTATACGTTGGAGAGGTAAGATGTTTAATTCCGTTTTTGGCAAAAAATTTCTTTAAGCTGGCAGACACAAACATGCTGCCGTTATCGCTTACTACTGTTTCCGGCAATCCAAATCTGGCGAAAGTCTTGCGCAGCTTTGACTCAGTCTCAAAAGCTGAAGTGTTTTTCATGAGGAAGACCTCTACCCATTTGCTGTAAGCATCTATAAGGATTAGAAAGTCCTTGCCCTTCAATGACAGAAAGTCTATGTTAATTCGTTCGAACGGTTTTGAGGCCAATGGCCATGGAGTCAAGCCTGATTTGGGCGGATTGTCCTTGTTTAGGATGCATATTTGACATGACTTTGCCAAATTTTCTATGTCTAAATCGATGCCGGGCCAGTATACATATGATCTTGCCAGGGCCTTCATCCTCGACATTCCCCAGTGAGATGTGTGAATTTCAGAAAGAATCTTTTTTCTCAGGGTTTCCGGCACAATTATTCGGTGAGAAAGTAGGAGTATTCCGTTTTCCAGCGAAATTTCGTCCCGTCTGTTGTAGTATGGCCTCACACTTTCACTGATTTTGCCACTCCAACCATTTTCGATGCAGGCTTTCACACTCTCCAGGTCAGCATCAAGTAGAGTTTGTTGCTTGATTTCTTTGTTGTTCATTGGCCAATCCTCCTGGCATTCTGTGAAGTTCACGAACAACATCTCTGATTCTTTTCCTCTCTCTGCGTCTGGTGGTGGTGCTCTGCTAAAGTAATCTGCAACAAAATTTTGATCCCCTTTTATATACTGGATCTCGTAGTCAAACATGGACAAAAATGCTGCCCATCTTTGCAGCCTGTTCGCCGACATCTGGTGGATTCCCCTGTGTTCGCCAAAAAGTGCTATTAAGGGTCGGTGATCAGTTTTCAAAATAAAGTGGTGCCCCGAAAGGTATTGATACAACTTGCTGACACCCCAGTATATGGCCAAGGCCTCTTTTTGGGTAGTGCAGTAAAGCTTCTCTGGGTCCGAAAGAGTCCGGGAGAAGCAGGTGATCATTCTTTCCCTGCCATCAATTAGGTGCGAGAGCACTGCTGAAATGCCCACGTTTGATGCATCAGTGCTTAGGATGATGGGCAATTTTCGATCAAAGTGAACCAAAACCTCTTCGGAAGCTATAATTTCCTTGATTTCCCTGAATGCAGTTTCACAGCTATCGGTCCATTTGAATTGATGGTCTTTTTTTAGCAAATTGTATATGGGGCTTAATATTGTTGATATTCTTGGTACAAATTTAGAATAATATGACACCATTCCTATAAAACTTCGAACTTCTGTCAAATTTTCTGGCTGTTTAGCCTTCAGAACACTTCTAATTTTTGACTCACATTTCTTTATTCCCTCCTTGCTCACACGGAACCCCAAGTACTCCACTTCCTTCTGGAAGAAAAAACACTTTTCTCTTTTTAATGTGAAACCAGCATCTTGGAGTTTTTGAAAAACTTCCTCCAAGTTTCTCAGATGCTCTTCAGCAGTTTTCCCAGACACGATGATGTCGTCGAGAAAAGGTATTGTTCCATTGACACCCTGAAGAAGCTGGTCCATTATTCGCTGAAAAATGCTAGTTGCTGTTTTAATGCCAAAGGGCAAGCGTTTGAAAGCAAACAATCCCTTTGGGGTGTTTATAGACAAAATTTTTGAACTCCTCTCATCAACCACAATCTGGTTGTAAGCAGATCTTATGTCTATTTTTGAAAAAAACTGCCCTTTATTTAATTTTGCCAAAATCTCTTCGATTCGTGGCAACGGATATTTATTATCTTCTAAGTATTTATTAATTGTGATCTTATAGTCACCACAAAGTCGCAACGTGCCGTTCTCTTTCAGAACTGGAACCAAAGCACTAGCCCATTCACTATTCTCGATAGGTTCAATGACGTCCTCAGCAATCATGGTTTCTAGCTCTTTTGCCCCTGCCCCCTGAAAAGCCAATGGAATAGGACGAGCTTTACAAAACACAGGTTTTGCTCCAGGACTCAACTCTAAAGAAACTTTTGAATATTTATAATGACCAATTTTGTCACTAAACAACAAGGGAAATTTATCAACAAGGCTCTTTACTTTATCCTTTGCATCAAGGTCAATGTTTAACAAAGTAAACTTAATTTTAAATTTATTTAAAAAATCTCTACCTAATAGATTGGGTCCTCCATTGCGGACAACGTACAATTTCAAGTCCCGCCCCTGTCGTCGGAGTTCTGCGGAGACAGTGAAGTACCCTTCTGGTCTAAAGGTTTCACCATTATATCCTCTCAGAAGTACACAGTCTTTGTGTAATCTATATTCAGAAAAAAAATTTGTATAAGTATCAAAACCACAAGCAGATATGGCTGAGCCACTATCGATTAAAAATGAAAATATTTTGTTATTAATTTTTAATTCAACGAAAAATTCACTTGAGTGTGGACCTCCAAGTGAAGAAACATTGTAAATTTCGGAGAAATAATTATTTTCCACCACAGCAGAGTCAGCTACCTCAGACCTCAGAGGAGTCATCAGAAAAGCTACTATCTAAATAATCAACAAAATTTACGTTCCTACCTTGGGATTTTCCTTGTTTACAATATTTCGCAGTATGCCCTGTTCGTTTACATAACTGGCACCTAATATTTTTAAGATAACATTCACCCTTGTGATTTTTTTTTGCAAAATGTGCAATTTAAATTATTGTTTTGATATTTATTAAAAGAATATTTACTAGTACTTCTAGTACTTACCTCGATTATGACTTGGCTGTCTTGATGATTGTTGACGTCTGTCACCATCAGCTGACGGTCTTCTTCTTTTCGGTGGCGATTGGTACCTGTCCAAGGTTCTTGACGTAGAGTAGTTCGGAGCAGGTCGCGTTTGCGGCCGGTGTTGCCACCTGTCGGGAGGTCTGTCATCGTTGGAGGAGGAGCCAAAGATTTGACGGAACATCTGGCGTATTGCACATGGTGGAGCTTTTCAACTTTCTGGGCTAGGGAAACGAGTTCTTCTAAGGTCTTCTCGCCTTCAATTTCGCAGATTCTGTCGATGACCTTCCCGTCGGACAAACCAGTAACAAATTTATGGGTTAGAAAAGTTGTCAAATTGTTGTTAAACTCACATTTAGATGCTGCACTTCTTATCTTTGCGTACCATTCAGCTATCGATAGGTCTTCCTGTCGGAGTTTATCGAATGCGATTCTCTGCCGCCACACACTGAGCTTGACCGAGTACTGGCTGCTGAGAAGTCCTCTAAGTTCCTCAAAGGTTTTCGTCTTGGGAAGGCCAGGATAGCAAAGGTCCCTCAGGAGTTTGTACGTTTCTGGGCCCACTGAGCTGAGAAAAACAGCGGTTTTGATCGCGTCTTCCACGATTTTGTTGGCTGCAAAATGCTGTTCCAAACGTTCTGCATAGATTTGCCACTCATCCACGTCGGAATGGAATTCAAAAAAATTGGGCACTCCCGCCGTCGCCATTTTACTTTGCAAGTCACGTCGTTTTTAACTCAGATTTTAAGCCTTTTTTTTGACCCCGCGTTTCCAATTTTTCACCTCGTCGCCACTGTAATATCTTGGGGGTTAAGGCTAAATGAGAGTCCGAACACTTTCGAATAATACTGCTTTATTTCGCGTCGGTTAGGGACAGAGCACATAGATTACACAATACTTGTTTATTAGGTTATTTCAATGCTACCAAAGAGAGGGAGACGTCTGTACGTCCGCTATTTATATGCGACCCTTGACAAGGCAATGTTGCCGCGTTGCCACAATCCTTCACCAAGTCATACACATAGGCCTCCTTTTATTTATTTACAACTTATTATTTTATATGTTACAATAGAAGAATAGTACTTATTAAATTATTACACGGTCGAATTTTTGATCTAATAATTAAGGATTGTCCCGGGTGTTGAATTATAAAGTACCACCCCCTGTAACTTTTTTATGTATATACATAGGATCAAAAAATAAAAAAGTACAGGGGATGAGACTTTATAACTTGACACTCTGTAGCTAATGGCAAAAATTTTAGGAGAAATTGAAAATTTGCCAATAAGATTAATGACGCTTTGGCTTGTTTCCTAACTAAATTCTTGTTGTTTGAACATAGACAAATTTGTCTCCTGGTAAGAACAGGATTTCCGAATTTCCATATACATATCTAATATGTATTTAAATTTGAAAAAAAAAATGCATAAATTAGAATCTTCCAATAAGAGTTTTATTAAATTTTTAATAAAATTTGACAGTAAAATCTCCTAAATAATTATAAGCGAAGCCCTGTAACTTTTATACGATTCATTAAAAAGCTGATAAATTTGTAACATTCCAAAAATGTTAATCGAATAATAATAAATCTAAAATAGAGTTAAAAATAAATTAACTTTGTTAATCAATTGATATAAATTACACTAATAACATTTCGTATAACTAATCATCATATAATCATAAAATATTTGAAAATCAACTTTACAAACTAAAAATAGCATCAAACTGCCCTTTATTTAATTCAATATTTTTTTAAATGCCTCAATCAAAAGCTCTATAAATATCTACAAAGAAAACACAAAAATGATTTATTTAGTCAAAGGCCAGTTTCTCTATCAAATCCATTATACTTTGAGTAAGCAATAATTATCTAAATTTCTTTGAATATTATTTTAAGAAACTGGCCTTGAAAAAGAACCTAACTAAGGCAATAACAAATTTAACAAACAAATTATTTTTTAAATGTCATAAATAGTAGTTCATCGTTCCTTTGTTTTTGTTTATTTTTTTTTTATCAAAATATTTTTCTATTTTTTTTTTTAAATTTTAATACAAAAAGCCTAAAAAAATAATTCAAAATTTTACATAAAGCAGAGGAAATCAAACAAACACAAAATAAATTACATTGAGTCATAAGAAGTTTACTTTTTCATTAAAATATGTAATAATTTTCAAAACTTGATATGCAACAAGCTGCCTTAAATAACGTTTAGTAAATTTATAAAAAAAAAAATATTTATTTTTTTTGTATTTTTTTTCAAATTTCTTTTTTTTCAAGGTGTGTTTAAGTGAGTGTATAAATGTGTGAAATAAGTGTATGCGTGTTTTGTCATGTAGTGTCATGTGTGTTGTTCCGAGTCTTTACACATTTTTAGTTGACTCGAAACAGTTTTCTATTAAATTGTCAGAAATATCAAGGCCTGATTTAGATCAGCTTTTGTTTAGCGCATTCTGGGCAGATGATGTCTTCTTGGTCAGTGATAAAGCCACGTCCTACCAGGCTGGTGTTGCAGCTGGCGCAGAAGAAACAGTCGTTGTGCCAGTGACGGTCTTCGAAGGAGATGAACTGAAAAAAATAATTAGATTTAGAAAAATTTCAAAACAAAATTCTACATCATAAATCAGGAATCTATTTTATACATATGAGATCATGTGAAGTTCAGTTCAAGGCATCAGATGATCAAAAATCACTATTTGTGCAAGTTTCTGTATATGTATATTGATGAGTCATTTCTCAGAATCAAATCGATGGAGTGAAAGTGGTACTTTCAGCACAGTACGAAAACAATTATGGAGCCAAAAGAAATTTGTTTTTTCACGAGCTAAGCAGGCAACATAACCAGTATATGGAAAAAAGGATCTACTAGGAAAATTGGGTACCGGATTGCCATGATTATGATTTGACTTCTATAGTAAAACTTCTAACACACATAGTTTTTGCAAATAGTAAGAGGGAGATTATTTTTGATCTAAACTTTACAGCAAAGAAAAAGCATGATTTAAACCAATCTATCAATCAATCAATCAATCAATACTACACGTTTTACAACAGTATTGAGGAAAACCACCTATTCAAAATATTATTTCTTCAAATCTTAGTTTAAAAAAAAAATAAATGTTTCCTATAGAAAAGCAAATGGTAAATGTTGCAACCATGTATGCGCCTGTGAAATTGATGGGAACGGCGGCGTGCCACGGAAAAAGGTACTGAAGGATAAAGAGAAGAAAATGAGAGACTAGAGAAGAAGCTTGTCCCTTAGACCGCTTGTCTGCCATTGTTCATTATTCAATTTTTATTTTGTATTAAACTGGTTGTTCAATCCAATATGTGATTAGTTTGTGTGTCATAAGGAGCATTCACAGGTCAGTTGAATAAATGTTATTTTGTTTTTGAGAGTTCAATTTATACAAGTATTATTTATTCATTTTTATGTTTTTTTTGTTTGTTTATAACATTTTTTGTAACATGTGTATTGTTCATGTATTTAACAAAAATCGTTTCATGCTGTGAACAATGCAGATAAAAAAAGAAAACTAAAACCTAAAGAAATTATGTGCTGGGATTTTAATTTTTGGTAATCAAAGCGTGCATTAGGGCCTTGTTGAATCTACTAACACTTTCCTACCCTGACAAATGGAAATACTCAATCTAGAGATATTGGGTACATTCAGGCGGTGCCAGCGGCTAAGCTCAGTCTCCCAGCAGGTATTCTATTCTCGAAACCGAGGAACAGCGTTCTCATGAGAACGATTGCTCTGTCATTGTCAATGTTATGGAAATATGAATACGGACGACGAAGACAGAACCTTCGTTTTCATGAGAACGCTGCTGCCCTGCTTCCAGAATAAAGTCCCTGCTGATTGGCTGAACTTAATCGCTGGCTCCGCCTGAATGTACCCATTGGCTCAAAACAACAATTATAGCTGAGTAGCCTCCTGTAAGGGACCTCAATACTTGCTGGTGAAACTGGCTAACTAACCGCAAACTCTTCACTACATATTGAATATAGGTTCTGTTTATTGAATGTAGTTTGTGGAATTCAAATTTTAGTACAAGAACAGGGACGGTACATAATTTAAACTTTTATTGAATTATTGATTCACAATTATTTATTAAAGAGACACAGTATGTCTGGATTTTTGGGGAATGTTAGATCGAGGGATTCTCTGCCGTGCTTTTTCCCCTCGTGAGTTCCAGGTCGAGAACGGTACGTTTTTCTAATAATAAATTATAGACGTTTTACAAATTTTTCGTTTATTATACATATCCCAACTTCCCTTAAATTTCTCTAATATTGCTATTGTCGGGCGCATGTCAAGTAAGTAAAATTGAGTAAGTTTCCACAACGCAGGTCCCATTTGTTTTTCAAAAGATTTGTTGAAAGAAGAGATAATAAAAATTCTAACCGTTCAATCTTGCTGAACAAACCTGGGTATGGTATACTACAGTAAAAAATAAGACAAGGGAATGCAAAAAAATACATACCAGATTTTTATTTCATAAACTGAAACTCAAAACGACATAAGCTCCAAAACTCTTTGACCTATTATACATCAACTGTTCTTTTAATTTCGAAAAATATAGATGCAGGTCTAATGGCCATTTGCATCGCTATCACTTAAGGGATATTAGGGGATATTTAATTTATGTGGAGCTTTTGAATGTGACTTTTGTTTTTACGAGAGTCACATTCAAAGCTCCACTTGGATTAAATGTCCCTTAAGTTATACCGGTGCAAATGGCCGTCAGTCAATTACCAAAATACCAAAGGAAGATTAGATTTACAAAGTATATATATATTTTGGTCTTCGTTTTTCTCTTTTTTGCCGTCCTTCAGGACATATTCCTGTATCTCTGTAGTATTTCCGCTTTTCTCTTTCTCCTCAATGTTTACCCCATTTCCCTTGATTTCACCTAGTTTTATCAAAAATGCTTTGTTTTTTCTTAGAACATCATCTTCATCGGTTATGGCAATAAATGAATTTGGTTCTGGACATTCTTTTATGTAAACTAGGTTAATTTTGGTAATTTTTTTTTTTTTCATTGTTAACACTCATGTTGTATTATTTTGCAATTCAAAAGTAACTTATTTATTACCAACTTAAAGTAAAATCGTGATATTGGTGAAGTCTCCTGGAGGTTGTCTGCGGCTTGTGCTATAAGTTTGTGTGTGTATTTTGCCAGTTATTTTGGAAATAAAATATTTCTAACCCAAACATTTTACCATGCACTGCCTCAAGTGCAAAGTCGATGAAGTGAACACTGAGGTAATCACTAGCTGTGACAGTTGCAGGAGACTCATCCACGAGCTGGTTTGTTCGAGTTTAAACTCATTGGAAATCCGGGTCATTGAGCTGAAGGGCAAACGTACTTTAAAATTGCTTTGCGAAGATTGCCAATTAGGATTCCTTCAGGTTCCATCGATCTTATCAGCAATAGATCAACTCAAGTCTGAGATGAGGTTGCTAAGAGACGAATTAAATCAAAAGTCCATCCCTCCCACCAGTAATAACACTGGACCTTTGAATAGTGACCTTCTTCTTGCCGAACTTCAAGATCGCCAGAGCCAAGTAAACAATATTATGGTCTACAACCTGCCAGACCAAAATCAAGACCACAATGATGCTATCAGCCTCCTTGAATCACTAGACATACCTGAACCTGAGGTAAAGAATGTAGTGAGAATTGGACTACCTAACAAAAATGGTCGTAAGTGTCTCAAAGTAACTCTTCATAAGCAGGAGGTTGCTGTTCGCTATAGATCCAAAACTCAAGGGTAAAAACATCTATGTCAGTCCCGATTTAACCAAATCTCAGGCCAGAGCAGATCCAATGGTTAGGACCGAACTTAGACAGAGATTGTCCGACGGGGAGAGTGAGTGAAAACTCAATGAACCCTTGATCTCATAGTTTCACAGTTACTTACTTGTCCGGTCCGAAGCAGATTGTTAAAATTGATAATTTCCTGTCCAAAATTATTCAGGTTACCTCCGGTGTGCCACTACAGGGGTCCCATCTTGGGCCACTCCTTTTTAATGTCTTTACAAATGATATTCACGAATACTTTACCATATGACTTTTTTGGTTGTTTGCCGATGACCTCAAAATGATGAGCTGCATAAATAAATCTTATGAAGACTGTAACAAACTACAGTACAATCTCAACAACCTCCAAGGCTGGTGCAATATAAGTTCCATGGATCTCAATCCTTCTAAATAAGCCATCACTTTTTCGTGTGGTAAAACCTCTATTAAATTTAATTATAATATTGGTCAACACACCCTTGAGGAAATTTCCATTATCAAAGACCACAGGACACAAATCTCCATTTTTCCAATCACTTAAATAATGCAGTTAATAAAGCTCTTCAAATGTTGGGTTTTATAAGAAGGACAACCCCAGACTTCACCAATATTACTGCTTTAAAAACTTTATATTGCGCCCTCATCTAGAGTTTGCCTCTTGCGTCTGGTACCTCTGGTATAGGTACACAAGGACTCTCTTCAATTGGTTGAACACAAATAAAAAAAAAATAATAGCCTATAAACTAAACATATTGGATAATTATAACGACACCCTGGTACTCTCTATGTTAAATATGGCCCCAATATTTATGCGTCACAAGAGGGGACACCTTACAACCTTCTATAATGTTCTGCATGGGAAAGCTTCGACTCCTGAAATTCTCCTTAAAGTCAGCATTCATGTCCTTCCTAGAACTACCAGATCAACTGGCAGTTTTCATGTCCCGATTCATCGTACTAATTATGGACTTAATACCTTTATTTCCCGAACAGCTAGACTCGCAAACGAACACAAGATTGACCTTTTTACTCCTTTCAACATTTTCCTTAGTCAAGTTCGTGAAACTTTTAAGTAGTTATTTCCAAATTTGGATTTTCAATCGAAACTAATTGTACTTGTATATTCACTCCTTATTATTGAATTTTATTTTTACCTATTTTCATTATTCCTATGTATCCTACCAAAACTTCACTCATGTTTTCGTTTTCAGATGTAACTGTATTTGTTATTACTTATTGTAAATCTTTATTTTATTACTGTTATCTTTGTTTATTTTAATTTGGTTATTTCTAACTGTTCAACTTGTTATGAATAATTGACAGTTTAGTTTAACATTTTGTAAGTAGGCTCGGCCGTTGATAAATAAATAAATAAAATTTTTGACTTGTGTCTACAGTCATAATTTTTCTTGGCTTCTTCTCTCTGCATCTTCCTAACTTTTTCATGGTCAGCCAGCTTTGGATTTAGGTTTTCCTTCGTGGAAGGTAAAATTTCTCTAAGTTTTCTTCCAAATAGTAGTTCTGATCTTCTGAGTTTCCACATGAAAGCGGTGTATTGCGGTATGCTAATATTCCCAAATAAAGATCTTCACACTTCTTTAACAGCTTTTACACCAACTGTATAGCTCTATCTGCTGAACCATTGCTTTGAGGAAACCTGGTACTTCTTTTTATGTGGTTAGAGTTGTTAGTTTTTGCAAACTTTCTACAACTGTAACTATCAAATTGTAGTCCACCGTCTGAATTTAATATCTCTGGAATTCTATATCGTCCGAAGATTTCTCTCAATTTTTCTATAATGTCTTTACTTTTAGTTTCCCTTAGTGTAATAACTTCTGGATATTTCGAGTACACATCCTGTATGACAAGGTAGACCTAATTTCTATACTGGAATAAATCTGCTGATACATGCTGAAATGGTATTAAGTATATCCTATTCACAATCCGTAGTCCAAAGGTAAAGGTAAATTTATCACCTTTCCCTATCAAATAGCACTGAAAGGTGATACATTTTACCTTAACCAAGTGTCATAGGATTTGTCACTTGATTCTGGTTCTTTGAACATTCATGGCAATTTTGTACTGTTTGTGAGACTTTAATGCAAGTCCACACTAGATTTTTACATATTTTCATTTAAAGTTGTTGACCTACGGTCTATTACTCTATATTTCTACATTCTTGATGCTTGCTTTAGACCATAGATGTCTTTATTTAGTAGACAAACTTTACTTTCATCTACAACAAAACCTTCAGGCTGGGTCATGAAAATTCTCTCATTTAACTCACTATTTAAAAATGCAGTTGTTCTATGTCTTAATGGAGACTAAGAGATAATGCAAATAACAGTTTAAAAGTAGAGTTCCTTACCATAGGTGCAAATGTGTCCGTGTAGTCTATTCCATAGGTACTGTTGTGTAAAACCACATGAGACAAGGCGAGCTTTATATCTAGTCTATCCATTATTATAAGTTTTTAATTTAAAAACCCGTTTGCACTGCACTTCCTTTTGATTTTCTTCTTTATCCACTATAGTCCATGGTTTATTTTCCATTAAAGAATTATATTCCCCATTCGATAACCTCTTTCTATATTTGACAGATTCGGGACAATTCATAGCTTCACGCGCTGATAAAGGTTCAGAAGCGTATTCTGACGCTAAATACAGTACATGATCTGGAAACTCTTTTTCTCTCCTCATTCCTCATTCTCTGTGAACTTCTTGGAATTCCATTCTCTTCATTTTCAACATCTTCAGCAATTTGACTTTCTGCATTTTCACTTTCTTCATTCAAACTATCACTTTTTTTATCTTCCTCTGTTTGCCTACAAAAATGTACTCCATATTATGTTCTTTTTGAGACAATTTTTTTTCCTAATTGATTTGGCTTGCGCAATACACCCAAAAACACGAAGATGTTCTAGACTTATTTTATTTCCTGACCATTTCTCCTATGGTGTATATCCTTTGACAGCTTTGTGTGGAGAACGATTCTTCAGATAGACAGCTGTATTGACAGCTTCAGCCCACATTTTTTGTTCAAGATTAGCTTCTTGTAGCATACATCTTGCTTTTTCTACTGTGGTCCGATTTGTTCGTTTGGCTACTCCATTCTCCTCTGGTATATATCAGTAACTTGATGTTCTATGCCTTTTGATTTCATGTATGTGTTCATTGTTTCATTGGCATATTCCGTACCATTGTTATTACTTCTGATTTTTTTAGTTTTACCTGTTTGATTTTCTACTAAAATCTGAAAATTCTTATTTCAAAAACTTTTGTTTTAGATTTTAAAAAATGGACAAATATATTTCTGGTGAAATCGTCAACTAAAACAAAAACGTATCTTGCACTTTATTTGCATGGGCCCACAAAGATCGTATGTACTAGCTCGAGTACCTCTTTAGCACACTTACCTCTCAGCTTCTCAAATGGTTGTCGTGTTTGCTTACCTAAATGAGAAACAGTACAGTCGTCTGCTTTTTTAATACGGTACTCAATGCCAGTTGCCATGCTGTTTTTCAATAAAGTCATGCTTATTCTGTCCAAGTGACCATGTCACAATAATCCTGTGTTTTTTTAGTGATACTCAAGAAACTTTTATCCCTGGTACATATACAATCTGAGATATTTAGAGTACATGCCTGTGCCCTGCCAACTCCGAAACATGACATTTTCTGATTATTAGCTACTCGTAATTTTTGATTGATTCCTACATTCAAATTCTCCCAAATATTTTTTCTGGTAACTCATACGTGTGGTTGCCCCTGAATCAATATACCAAGACTGAAGAAATTACTTTTTATCACTTACACCATGCACAGTTTGTAATGCGTTTCCTGTTGTCGCCTAAAAGCTTATTTTCACATTGATATTTATAATAGCCAATCTGACTACACTGGCATCACTTTACGCCCCCTTTGATAACAAGGGTGTTTCTTCGAACTTTTTTGCTACTTATCATCTTGAAGAAGCTTTGCTTTTACAAAATCACTTGAGATCGTTTTCACAGAATTCTCTATGGCCATTACCACGGGGCATGGGATCATACTCTGAGGTCAGCTCACTGAGCATAATAACCCCTAATAATTGATCATTAACTGGATGTTCCATATCTGACAACTTCTGAGCAAAATACATAGTCTGATTACCATAAGTAAGCTTCCATTGTTTGAAAATCTTCCAGTTTAATTCTTACCAATTGACGTATTAAACACAACCCCCTCGACAAGCCTTTATCGTCATAGGCTGTATCTAGATTATCCCAGGCCTTTTTGGCCGTTTTTGCTGTCCTGACGTGCAGGTATGCTGCAGGCTTTACCATACAGCCTTTTGGTGAGCTGTGGACGCGTTTCTTGTAGGATATCCATCTATGCAACGCCTGTGATTTTCGTGAATAAGGGCCATTTTCATTCCAAATTTTCAATTGTTGAAATTTCCTCTACCAGGTAATCTCTCACATCCCAATATACGTAGAGCATGAGTCAGCAATTTTTTTTATGAGAAACTAGTTTCGTAAGTTTTCACGTCGAGTGCAGATACCAACGCACTGGGCCCATAACCTGAGATTTCAATGGAGGTCGATAACCGATTTTAAAATATTTTCGTTGAAAGTTGTCAACGTATTCTGTTCCTATGATATAATTATTAATATTGGGCCACCTACAGTAGATTTTGCTCTAAATTTGTAACTATTCATGCTTTGATGTCCATTATGAATTTGATTTAAGGTTTCTCTATACATAGATGAAGGAATAATTATAAGCCTGTCTTTGTAATATACAACAAACTGCCCTAATGTAATAGGTCTGTTTGCACAACAATCACAAACCAGTCAGAGCAAATTTCATTTGTTGAAAACAGTCAGAAACAGTTAGAAAACTAGTTCCAACCAATGAAATTGACTCTGACTGGTTGGTGATTACTGTGCGAACAGACCTCCTTCTTATTCTTAGCCTGTATACGTCCACTCCTGG